GCACTCAGTAGGTAGAGGCAGGCAGATCTCATCTCTGTGAGCTCTAAGCCAGCCAGGGCTTCATAGTCAATCCCCTACTGATTTTATCAATTTCTCTTCTCTGCCTGCCACATGTCTCTCCACATCCTTTTTCAGACTCAAATCCTCTCAAAAGCAGCAACCAACACATGACAGCTTCCTGCTTCTGTTACACATGGGTGTACACTCAACTGAGAACTGGTGGAGAATAGCCACTAGTCCTTACCGATCTGCACGGTGGGGTCCTGGGTGTCTACCACTGTGTGTTATCACCTTTAGTCCTCATCACAATCCTATAAAGCACGTCTACATCATTTCCACTCTACACAAAAATAAAATGTGATCTCGACTTCAAAGAGTTAAGAAGCTGACCTAAGGGAAACCACAGCTAAAGGTGGAAGAACAAGATTTGAAAGTCATTCTGCTGGTTTCAGTACATGTGCTGAAAACCAATACATAAACCTTCATCTACTTAAGGGTAAACACAGTCTTCTTGCTATCGTCTCAATGTTTGGCATCTGGCAAACAGCTGACATGCAATAAATACTTGTTGAGTGAGTTTACAAATGGATAGATTAGCGTATCCTCAGTGCCATTATATAACTTCCTGTGTTCTTCTACATCCTCTTCCCTCCTTCAGCCTAATCTTGAAAGGACAGAATCATGTCTGCATTCAACCTGAGTGGCCAAGCCTGTATTATACCAGGAACACTCCATGTCCTTCTTAGATCATAGTCAGGCAGCAATCAAAGTTCAAGTCTGAAGATGGCTGGATAAGTTGGACTAGCTGTTTCTCTGGGCCTAAAATGCAATCCAGGGACTGGAAGCTGGAAAGTACACACATGGGCCCTAGAATCTGATTACCTTCAGGAAGTTCCAGTATACCCTTGATCCCACAGATGCAGCTTAGTGTGGCCAGTGAGTGGCTGAGCTCACCTTAGACCCTCTGCCAAAAAGATGATTTTTCTTTCCAGCACTGCAGAGGCAAAGATCTGAATAATCTGCTCAAAATGGAGACAGTGCAGCAGAACACTGAAGTCCACATGTTCAAGGTGGGAGTCTAGGGGCCGTGTCAGTGAGATGAACTGTAGGAAAACCAGAGAGAAAAGGTTCAGCAATAAAAGAAATCACAGACCCAGGCCAGGCCTATTCCATTCTTTGCACAGGACAAATCTGATCCTAGCTCACCCACCCGTGACTTCCTTCTGCAGGGAGGACAGCTGGATAGAATCTTCAGTATTGCTCATGAGGTCCAGTCGGGGACACATGCTTCACTGTGTGTAGGCTCTAAAGCAGAGCACTTTTTCTGTCTAAAGCCTGGCCTGGATCAGGCCTCTTATGTATTGCTTTCCTTTCTTCATTATTATCCTTCAGCTTCAGAGGCCCACCTTGGTCATCTTAAGACTTCGTCTTTTTCTAATGCTGTACACTGCTTTTATTTTCTTTGTGACTGTCTAATCTTTAACTGCATGTTCACCAGTGTGTTTACTCATTTCCACACTTCCTGGTGTCCTTCTCCATGAAACTTTTAGTTACATGAGGCTACAAGCCATTTGCTTACCACTGTTTACCGAGAAAATCCATACCTCGACACAGAGTACGCCAGTACTCACTTTTCCTTCAGTATTTTTCCAGTAACTGAAAATTCCTAGTGACTCCCTGATTCTTCTGTGGGGATGACCAGATTCAAAGGTGCATGTGGAATGTCTGGTGTCAGAGATTCTGAATGGAATTCTACTTGCTGCCTTGAGCTCTTTAGTGACTTAGATCAACAGTACTTCATGAGATGGGTGTGGACTTAGGGGTGGGGATGAATGATAAGAATTAAACAGATGGAAACTATGGGATAGAGATTCAGGACACACACACAGGATAGTTAGGTTAGTTATGGTGTAGGAGCAACTGGACATTTGGAGACTAGAAACAAACTTAGCACCATACATGAGCACAGGCAAAATTTAGCAGACTGAACAGTATTAAGTAGGTGCTGGTGGGCATCAGGTTAGAAGGTACATCATATTTGGGTGACATGTTTTTTTTTTTTAGCTCTGCCAATATTTCTAATGCCTGGCTCAGCTTCCCTATACTGGTGAATGAAACCTTGAACCTGGTGAATTGAGGTGAGAGGAACCAGCCAGGGAGAGGACTGCACACTTGTTAACTCACCTCTGTGCCTGAGTCAGGAATGAAGCTCTTAAGGGTGACTGTCTTTCCAGGTGCAGGAAAGGCTGCCTCTCTGAGACCTTGCATGAATGGGTAGATGACAGCCATGGAGATCTGATGCCTCTTTTCTACTTCATCTAATATCTGCAGGGGAAGGATCACAGGGAGGAAGGCTTAGAGGGATTCTACTGGGTACCCAAGACTCTCACACTGGTCCTTTCTGTTCTCTAATATTTTCTAGGCCCCTCTACCAACTGGCTTCCATCTCCTGGACAAAACCTACTTTTCAAAGACTTCATTTGATTTTCTCTCATATTCCTTTCTCTCCTAACACCGATATGAAACTACTTAACCTATCAAATTATCTCCCATGTTGGCAATGGCTGGATTAGGACTCTAGAAACCTAACTTCCTGGATATCACTGTCCCATTTTCTCTGGACTGTCATCAGGGTGAGGCTTACATCAGCCCTCAATGTAATTCACAGAAGTAAGATCCACCCAAGCAGAAGCCACTGGAGTTCCTCTCCTACACCCAGCATTCTTCTGGCCACCAAGATAGGTCAAGTTCATTTTGAGAGATTGACTTAATCATAGCCTCAGCAACACAAATCATCAATTTCTCTTCTAACCTCATCATAATCAGGGTAACTATGGGGATCCTTACTGTATGTTATTTGCCTTCAGACTTGTAGGGTGCATTCCCTTTTGTGAAAAATTTCCACATGCTATACATCATCTGAGCCTCATAGCAACCAGGGAGATAAGAGGAAGAATGGACAATAGCTCTCTTTCTGCAGGAGAAACAGCCTTCTAGATTTCCTTGAAATAGGGTTGGACCCAGGTCTCTCCTGTCTCAGTTTTACCCAATATCCTTGATGCTGGTGGGGCTATCGGGAAGGCACTCTACCAAGAGCTCAAGTTGCAAGGCAAGCTGCCAGGCAGAGCCAGAGAGCTGAACAGGCCTGCCTAACAGGCTCCAAGGAATTTTGTCCTAACCTTACCTTGGAGAACAAGCCGAAGCAGCCGATGCAGCTGATGATGCAGTATACTTTGGGAAGGCGAGGACCAGGACCGGCAGGCTAGGGAGGGACAAGAATTTCCTTCAGGGCTGCAGCCTCCACCAGGGTTTCTTCCTTGAAACTAATGGGGAAACAAGTGGAGTGCTGCAGATGTGACTGCCAATGGGTTGGATGGAGAAAGGTCTGTATGGTTCTGTTCATGGAACAGATGGGAGAAGGGTCAAAATATCCACCAAAGTCAAAAGATGATGATTAGTTTTCAACTGCCACATTGTGCAACCAGTCCAAGTGTCTTTCAACAAATGAAAAGAAAAAGATAGTGTGTTATATAAAGTGGAGTATTATTCAGCTAATAAGAAGAATGAAATTATAACCAATGGATACAGTTAGCAAAAGAAACTAGGCACAGAATGTGTTTTCTATCTCATATGCAGGATTTGGATTTTAGAAAAAATAAGACATAAATAAAAGACATGAGGGGCTGGAGATTTGCCCCAGTGGTTATGAGTGCATATTGCTCTTCCAGAGGATCTGAATTCAGTTCCCAGCACCCACATTGGATGGCTCACAGCCGTCTTTTACTCCACCTCAGGAGATGTCCCCTTTTATGGCCTCATAAGGTACCCATACACATATACATATATCCCACCCACTCACAGATATACACACAATTAAAAATAAAATAAGTCTTTAAAAAAGAGAGACAGGAGAGCTGGAGAGATGGCTCAATGGTTAAGAACATTTGCTGCTTTTGCTGAAGAGCCAGGTTTGGGTCCCAGCACCTATACTGCAGTTCACGACCATTGTAACTAACTCCAGTTCCAGAGAATCTAGCTCCCGAGTCTGTCCTCCATGGGCAAACAGGCATGCACACAGTGCACTTATATACATGCAGTCAAACACTCATACACTTTTTAAAAAATAAAGAAAAAGGATTAAAAACATGAAATTAGAGAGGTGAGTGGGAAGGGAAAAAGAACTGGTGTGATAGGCATAGTAAATATGATTCAAGTACATGGATTACATATAAAAAACTATGAAGCCTATTTGTTTATACAATGAGTATATGCTTCGAAGAGGAGGAGAAAGAGGAGAAGGAGGAGGAAGAGAAGGAGGAGGAGAGATAGAAGGAGAAGGAGGAGGAGGGGTAGGAGGAGGAGAAGGAGGAAGGAGGTGGTAGTGGCAGCCTTCTGGGTCTAGAAACCCAATGGTAAACACTGACTCATGGCCAACATGAGCTTAAGTTCAGTGAGAACAAAAACAAGTTTGTCTTAGCCACAAGGAAATGTCTAGAGAGGAAAGGGTTGTAAAGGTGTCTAGAGAGTCCTTGTCCTGAAAGCCAAGAATTAAACCTCATCATTTAAATCTCAGTGTCTGGGAGGCTCAATGGAATAAGGCAAGCATGACTGGGTACAGAAGACTACAAGAGGGTCCAACTGGAGCCTCTTACTGTGTGGTGGACTACTGAGCTGGGAGCACACAGGCCAGAGCCTTGTGGCAGCAGAGGGGATGGGCAGCATGTCTTTGTTCTTGTGGGATCCAGAAGGGACACTAACATGGCAGCATGTGCTGAGGTTTTCTCTCCCTATAATCACCACTCCCACCGAGCCTGAGCTTTGGTAGCAGAGGCTTCTGCAAGCCCATCGGTGGAGCTGAGCTGTCTGCAGTGAGGAAAGGGTGAAGCTGACCAGTCTGCGGAGAGGAAGGGGCTGTTCTGAGTAGCACCAACCAGGAGGCGCCTGCAGTATCCGATCTTCCTGCTTCCATCCACATTGGTCAGGACGAATGAGAAGGTCTCCCTAAGAGAGAGCAGACCAGCAGTGTGCATTTGCTCACTGGATGTAAAACAAGATTGGAGTCCGCATCAGAGGCGTGGAGAGGAAGACAGAGGGGAGCTGCTGACTGGCTGATCATGGGGATAATCACAGCAGTCACTCACTAAGCACTTGACGGTGTCCAGCTCTAATGCATCACCTCATTGGAGACTCAACTGAACCTTTTTGAAGAAAGTTCAGTTATTATTACCACTTTAAAGACCAGGTAAGTAAGGTTCTGAAGGTTACTTCTTAACTAAAAATTGAAGTCATGATCTATTTCCAGTATTCATGATGTAAGAACCGTTTCCATGTTGTACAGGCCAAAGTCTTTCTCTGCAGTCCAGAGTGGGGAAAAAAAAAACTATTTCTTCTAGCAACACATAAGAGACTCTTAAAAGTCTTCAGATAGATGTCAAGTCACAACTTCAATCATTTGTCTAAAGGATCCCAGGCAAAATATTTCCCTGGCAAAAACTCAGCATTCATACCAGGTGAGGGGCGACAAGAGCCACACAATTGCCCTTCCATCCAAATCTGATACCCTTGCCTGCAGGCTGAGTGGTTACCTGGGATACTCTGTGAGTGGTGCCCACTCATTCCCATCAGGGAAGCAGAACAAAGGGATGGCACTGAGCAGCCGTTCCTCCTCTTCCTGCTGACCTCGGAGCAGGTTCTCCCTCTGTAGGAAAAGACAGTGGAATTTAGGCAGAGAAGCAGAGGTCAGAAGTCTGTCATTTTTCTTTCTGACAGAGTACAAAGGTGCCTTTGGTTGGTACCACACAGTCTGAACTCTAGGTCTAGCGGGAAGGACCCCCAAAGAGAAAACAATTTGTTCTGGGCCACATCAACATAACCTTGGGTTGGAATTCAGTATCCTGAGGATTTACATATTCAAAAAGGAGGTTAGAAAGGTCTGGACCAACTTCCTGAGAGGGTGCCATCAGAGAGAAACCACAACATAGAAACGAAGTAACCTGTCCAGTTGCTACACCTGCTAACAAGAGAGGCTGGTAAGAAGGGCACATTGTGCCTCACCCAGAGCATGACCAGACAAGAAGATCTCTAATACTTTGGGAGTCTGGTCTTAGGCTGTGTTTGAGTCTAGGGCCTGCTTGATTCTCTATATACAACCAGGAAGGTCATATCTTCTTAGGAGTTCCAGAAGAAGCTGGGTTTTTCTATAGAAAAGGTGACCGAGGTGGAATTTGGAAGAACTAGAAGGTTCCCAAAAGGGGAAAAGCATGAGGCTTGTTCCCTTGCCCCAGAGGTTCAGTCAATCCCTCACAAAGCAGTCAGACCTAGATTCTCTGGGTGATTACAGAAAACTAGGGCTGGGCTACAAAGGAAACAAGAGTAGTGAGCTCAGAGCTAGAGCCCAGACAGCGTGGTAAGACACAAGACTCCTCTATTACCTTTCAAACACACCTCCATCCTCAGGCCCCACCTCTCCCTCCATCCTTACCTTGGGAAACTGGTAGATGATCGTGGGTTCATAGTCATCCCCTAAACGCTTTTTCTTTAAAGAAACAACAAGAAGATATTCAAAGAAGTGCTGGCCTCCAGCAAAGCTGGACGGAGAATGCTCCTGGATCCTTTCCTCTTCTGTGACAGCTTCCCCAGGATTGTTCTGGGATTGTCCTAAAATGGAGATGCAAGGGCCCCTTGAGTATTCCTTCCATTCCTCCATTCTGTAGCATGTGTGAGAATCTGGGCAACAACCATGCCTCAAGGCTACAGTGCCAAGCCTGACCAGGCACCACCAGGCACGAGGTAGGACCAGAGCCAAGAGGGCAGTTTCCATACCTGCCCTGGGAAACTTGAAACCATGGAGTGACACAGGAAGAAAAGAAAACACTGATGTAGAAACGAAGGAGCCATGCAGTGGAGGTTCTTGGAGGCCTGATGTCTGACACTGCACAGTCTGCCTGCTGTAGCAGTTCTGGGTATTTTGTGAGCCCTGAGTAAATTTGTACTAAGTAATCAGAGTAGGCCCACAGGGCATTTTTTTTAAAACCATAGCAAGACCTCCGCAACAGACATGACTAGCTCTGCAAACTGATAAGGTAATCCTCCTGGCTTGATCACATGGGGGCCACGTGGATTTCAGCATATAAAGGGAAAAGAAGATCACTACAGGAGGAATCAGCCCATAAAAGGATCATCCAAAAAAGGAAGTAGGCAATCCAGTTCTGACCTGCTCGAAGTCGTGGCAAGCGATTTCGGAGCAGCCTGAGGGTTCGGCCTACCCCTTGTCCTTCCATCATTCTGAGCTTTGGGGGCATGAATGTTCTTTCTCCTTCAGGCTGGCCACAGAGAGCCTGAGAAAGTGGCTTCTGCTTTGGTCTCCAATCACAGGTTTATTGAGCTGAAGCATGTGCTGTCTCCCAAAGCCAGAGAGCAGTTTTCATCCTGTGTACTCCGTAGTTGAGCAAGAAGGATGTGAAAGGACCCGCAACACAGCTTGGTGTGGGCACTGACAGAAGCAGCATCCTGGCACTGCAGCTCAGCGCTTGGCTCCTCCCAAGAGCCCCAGGGTGTGGTAACAGAAAAGGTCATGAGCAAACATCTCAAAGCACAGCTGCTCCTGGGCTAAGGGCTTTGGATTCCAGTGCTTGCAGACCATGTGGTGAGTTTACTTACAACCCCAGGCAGTGAGGGATGCCTAGAAAAATCAGACCATGGACTCCAGCACCGCATGGGGCATAGCATAGGTATTTTACATCCCTTATCCTCAATTGCTCACCATCATCTTTTCAACTAATCATCGGAAGCTGCAAAGTCCCACCAAGTCAACTGGAGAATTCTAAAACATCCAGGACCTCCAGGAACACAGGACTGAACACTTCTTGCAGCCAAGATGCCACTGCCTTGCCCTGATTCAGATAAGTAGACTTGCCCAATCATTCTCTAAATGTACTAATAACTTGTAACAAGGAATCAATAGATCCTCTTCTGATGCTGTAAAGAACAAAATCCACCTCTGAGAGGTCCAGATATACAGAATAGCTGTGAAGGTAATTCCTACACCCCCATCTTCCCTGGTAATCTGTCTTGATCTAAGGCATAGAGCTCTCTCCTATTCCAGGGTTCGAGCAGATTCCTTTCTCTCATAATCTTTACTAACAGGAAGCAATGACTCAGGAAATCGTCCCCAGCTTAGAGTAGGAGCCGGGTTGCATCAGGAGCAGTAGGGGTACAGAGCATCTTCACCCTTCCTCCACTCCTGCTCAGTCTTTCTTCTGGTTGGGCCAGGACAAGCTAAGCAGCAGACCCAATACAGTACTGTGTCTAGAGGCCGAGGAACAGGGGGAAAGTAGTTGCTGATAACCTGGGTTTCTCACAGAAAGTCCTGAATAAGGAAATGTAGAGGATAAGAGGAAAGAGCCTTTGTCAGGAAATAACTTTTAATGAAGAGGGAAGAAACAAAAGGATCTGGTGCCTGTGTCTTCCACTTCTGCAAAGAATTAGCAGCCCTCTGGGAGGGAGTGTGTTGCTATGGTAAAAAGGAAGACTGTCACCCTGCTCCTAAGAGCACTGGAATTGTGGCACCAGTAAAATGCAGGACTCAGACACCCAACACTGACTTGTGGGGGAAGCGCCAATCAGAGTACAGATAATGAGGGTTGGAAACGTGAGAATGGGGAAGTAAGACCAGAGAACCAGGTAGTCCTTGTGTCTTCCTTGTATCCTGTATAGACATGTTGCATAATCTTTACTGGTTGCCTTAAGGAACAAGCACATGCCTAGTAAAGAAGGGAAAACTGAGGCATTAAGTCACTCGGAGGCAATTGAAAATGAACAGGATCTTTTCAAAGTGAACGCTGTAAAAGTTCCAAATCCAGGCTCAGGCCTTCTTGTGTATTACACAGTAAACATATCACAGTAGGGAGGGGTTGAGGATGGGGTGGGATGGGTGGTGAGCAAATGGCTTGAAGGGCCAGAGTCATCTTCCTGGTCATCCGAGAACCTCAGGAAATGTCTTTTCCTCAGTCCTTGGGCTGCCTTTTCACTCCATTTCCTCCTGCTTTATCAGGAGAAACAAGGGACCAGCAATGTTAGAATTCCCAGACCAAAGAAAAGTAACTAGATCTTTGGACTGAGGCTGAAGAAATCCAACAAATAGTGTTTTCTCCTTCTCCTCTTTTCAAAAGAGGTTCTCACAGAAAAACAGGAGAAGGACCAATATACATCAAACTCCTATATAATAGAAGGCACCTCACTTGATCTCGATGCCCTGGAATGGATTATTATCCTCAATTTTAATTGAGGGAGGAGCCACACTTCTAGGGAAGTCAGGAGTCCGGTTACACTTGTTCCTCCACCAAGAAGCCTCTCCCACAACCACCTGAAAGAAAGAGGACTTTGGGGAACCTTGATCTGAAAAGCTGTTGTTTGTTCTTTGCTGAACTGCTAGCAACCCAGAATCACCATAACAGTCTTCCCTACCAGTGTTTAAAACACACACACACACACACACACACACACCAGACAAAACTGCCTGTGCCAGTGAACTAGAAGGGGAAATACCCTAGGAAGCAGGAGGACAAAAAGAAAAATGAAAGAGTCACACCCATATGACCTGACAGGTGCTGCTAAACTTGTGACCAGGCACATATAGACTGCCTGCCTTCCTGTTCATTGACCACAAGGAAGGTCCTTCGAGTACCATTGCTAGCCATATGCTGCTGTGGGGGTGAGGTGGGAGAACAACTGAAATGTGTCCTCTGAGCCCCAGGAAGCAAACCTAGCCATTCAGCAGCAGATTACCCAGGTCTAGGAAGTCCAAGAAAACCAAGCCAGAACTCTGTAGAAAAAGAGGACTTATCTCCTCCTACATACCGCTCCTGCCATTGCAGCCCCTCTCCCTGGCATACAGGTGGAAGAGTCATGTGTCAGAACAACCACGCTGGAGAAGGAGGGTGGCAGAAGCCAAAAGGTACAAAGAGCAGATCAGTCACAAGTCATTGCAGTTCGGAGAAGGAAGTACAGACCTCAGCTCTGAGGCGTCTTCTGAGAGGGGGGGGTCACTGATGTCTTCACTTGCAAATGCAGGAAGGGGTGAGCTCTCTGGGAACGACCCTTAAAAACCTTTTCTTTTCTTTTCAGAAGCATGGGCTCTGTCTGAGCAAACCTGAGTGTGCCAGCTCACCATAGCACCGGCCAGACATAAAGAGCAACAGATGTTTGTTGAATGAATGGACACATTAATGAATCCTAGTTGTCCTTCTTCCAAGTCCCAGTGCTCCAGATATGGAGAAAAGAAACCGATGACACATCTAATTTCATCTCTACCATCCACCCTGGACAGGGAAAAGATTCCCATTTTACAGGTTAGAACTCAAAGTCAGGATTGAGGAAACAGCTGAGCTGATCTACCTGGCTGTGCTAATGAAGTCAGTGCTAAGGGCTTTGGGAGACCAGTTTTTGTGGAGCAGTTATCTGCGCAGGGACAAGCTGGCTTCCAGGAACTGGAAAAAAATGCCAAGTAGAGAAGGGAAGCACCTCCTGGAGGGCTTGCCGGCCTAAGCTCTTTAGCCTCAAAGTGGCTGCACCACAAGCTTCCTGGATATAAGGACACGTGGCCCTTGGGGCTCCATAACCGTTGTAGGTTTCTGGGCACCAAGTTCCCCCTTGACCCAGCAAGTCTGTTCGCTTGTTGACCTCTACCTGCTCCTTTGAGCTCACCTGCCTCCTGCCCAGCCTTCCCAGATCCCGCCTAAACTGATCCACGTTCCTGACCCCAGTGCCGCACCGATCCTATAGTCCCGGGGTCCCCACGCCCTCTTCCTCCCCCCGCCCCAAACCCCGCGCGCTGTGGCCCGCACTAACCCCGCTGGCCGCGCTTCAGTCTCAGGCTGGCTCGGAGGCGGCGGCCAAGCCCATCCATGGCCCCTCCGGTGCCCGGCACCAGCTCCCACGTCCGCGCCAGCCCCGCCCCCCAAATCCTTGACCTTCTTGGGGCCCTGGAACTTTCACTTTCACGCGGGAGGCGCAGGGAGGGGGTGGGGCTGGACAGCGCACCTTCCGGGCTTCTGCCCAACCCCTGGCGCACCTGGGCTGGCCGCTCTTCTCGGGTCGCCACCCTACACCCCTGCGCCTCTAGGCTCAGGGTGCCAGAGGGCGCCCGCGCGTCCATCCGGGAGGGGCGGTACCATCTCACTGTCCTCCTCTGTGAAACTTCACTTTCTGAAACACTATAGTATGTGCCTAAAGAGACCCCTACCTTCCAGGGCAAGGACTGGAAGACGCACCTCCAGGGTGTTTCCAAACTATCCCGAGGTGTAGAACTTTCAGACCACCTGTCCTTGCAACTATTCAGAGGCGCTGGCTACTTCCAGATCTCGTTCCTTTGTCTTCTCTACCTAGGCACTCCTGAAAAGGGACTGGAGAGGTGGGTTAAGGTAGTGACCCTGCCTTTCATTTGATTTTGTTAGTCCATAGATGGACATAATGAGGATAATACCTGCCTGGCTACCATAAAGATTTCTGAATGTCAGAGAGTGGGATTAGAAAACTTTCTGTAAAGTGTTATATGATATGAGTGTAAAGGATTCCTGTGGTCAGCATTGTTACCACTTGCATCCCTCTTCTAGTTCCAGAGAACAGCGCAGCCACCCACCTATTCCTCTCTCCTTACCTCCACTGACTTCTAAATGGGCCCAGATTTTAAACTGCAGTTATTAACTATGACTATGATAAGCACCTTCTGGGGTTTCTGTGGTACACCTTTTCTTCCTCCCAGGGCAGGGCAGGGCAGGGCAGGGCAGGGCAGGGCAGGGCAGAGCAGGGCAGGGCAGAGCAGGGCATCTGTAAGAGGGATGAGCAGAGTCAGTTTGAACCTTCTATGTTCACCATGGTCTTAACCTTGACTTCAGGAATGACAGGCAAATGAAAGCAAAAACCCACAAAGATGGCGGTGACCCTCAGTCCGCGACAGTCTCCCCATGCCTCATCCCCAAGGGACTCCACAGTCCTCAGCTCTATAGTTCAGAAGGATTGGACAACCAGCCCTTGCATTAAACTGATCACTCTGAGCAGAGGTTCTATGAGTTGCCTTTACTCTAGGTGCAAGCAACTTGCACTTAATTTTAATTATATAGTTTAGTTTTGTTTCCTATTCTCTGGATTCTTGCATGAAATAACCTGAAAGGACATGGGTGTCCCAAGTGCCTTCTCTTATGAGATCTGCAGCTTCTCTATCTCTCATAAGAGAAGGAGATGCTCAAGAAAACCTTGTCCAACTTGTTGACACTTTTTGTGCTCTTGCGTCTTAATTGGTCCAATCTAATTTACAGACAGAGCTTTCTTTCTTTAAAAACAAAACAAAAAACAGACGAGTAAGAACACATGTGTGCCAAGAAGACAAGGACAAGACTAATGGAAACTGTTGAACAAGCCTTTACATGGGAATAACCTCACGTGTTCATTAATACAAAAATAGGTAAATGGTGGCATGTGTATACAGTTGTGTATTATGCAACAATAAAAGTAAATAATCCTCCAGTGCATGTAATATTATGCCCATACTTACAAGTATAAACAAGAGATACCAGACACAAAAGAGATAAGCTTCAGTTTATATAAAGCTTCAAACGGACAAAGCTAACCCATAGGATGAGCAGTCAGGATAGTACATCTTTTAGGGAAGAAAAAGGAAGTAATGGTTGGGGAATACCATCAGACCTCTGGTGAGGGTTTGGGGTTGACCATGCCTATGCCTAACCTGAGGGTAAGGATATTCACTAGGTGGTCATTCTTTGTACGAAAGAATTAGGAACTTTGCATAGTTGTATGAGACTTTCTCTTAGACTAATGTCAGGAGGTCAGTTAATGATAGCAGTCAAATGGACATGGAAACGGGCCAAGAATGAAATGAAAAATGATTGAAATGTGAGGAAGTAAAATTACATTTCTGAGAAGTATGAATAACAACAGAACAAAAGTTCATTGTTCTAGAATTGATGAGATATTTGTGTTTAACGTGGTGGGTTCTTTGAGAAAGACAAGAAAGCATTTGTGGGCAGATAGGAATGGGATAGCTCAAGAAAGAGTGAGTGGAGGAGACAAGAGCTGACAGGAGATGAGGGTGGGTGTAAACAGGCGTCAGTGGGCTTTGGGCTTCATTATATTTTTCTTAGGAATGTATATTTTTTATGAAATGAGTTTCATTTTGACATTTCCCAACATGTGCAAAATCAACTTTGACTGTATTCATCACCTTTTACTGTCTCTAGTCTTTCACCACCTGGTAACAAGCCCACTTCCCCACATATATTCCTGTTTCTACTTTCATGGATTTTTTAAAAGTTAGGTTTTGCATATGAAAAAAATGCAGTAGTTATCTTTCTAAGCCTGGTTATTTTACTTACTATGGTGATCTCCAGTGCATTCGTCTTCTTAAATATGTCATAATTTTTCTCTTCTTTATGGTTGAATGATATTTCAATATGTGTATGCCACACTTTTATCCATTCATACTATGGTTGGGTAACTAGGCTGATTCCATAACTTGGCTATTTTATAGAGTCAAGCAATGGGCATGGGTGTATAGATATGCCCAAGGCTTCATGTCATGAGAAGTTGGAAAGAAAAACCTGTCAACTGGGAACTCGGTGGAAGCTTTTGCTAGTAGGCAAGCAAGAATTCCAGCCCAATTACCAAGTGCCTAAGGCCATCTCCCTCTCAGCCACAATACTGCAGATTTTCTAGGAAAAAAAAGAAGAGGGAGTCCAAGTAACCTTTTGAGAAGTAAGAAGTAGCTTAAGAGTCAACAAGGATCCCCCCCCTCTCTCTCTGTGTGTGTGTGTGTGTGTGTGTGTGTGTGTGTGTGTGTATGTGTGTTTGTAAGACAATTGCTCATTCTCCCTTGAGGCGCACATATGCACAGGTGCCTCTTACCTGCCCCTCTCCTCCCTTGGGAAGCACAGACCCCAACCTGGGCATGCATCGTTTCTTCTGATCACTTCTCATTCTCATAACAATAATGATTAAGTCTGTATTAAAATCATCATTAAACAGATTTTTAACTCTGCTTCACTATACTGTCCAGTCTCAAAATTCTCTTCAAGGTCAAGGCCCTGAACTCCAATTTGGCCTGAGTTGAGGTTCTTACAAGTCTAGGAGAACTGAAGCTGGTGAGGGTGGCAATGTGGGGCTGTTACTGCTGACTTTTCTTTTATATGTTGATTTCTGCTCATTCAGGTATACACCTAAGAGTGGCTTAAGAAGATTATGTGGTAATTCTAATTTTGGTTTTCTGAGGACCCTCCACTGTGATTTCCATAGTGGTTGTACTAGTTGACATTTCTATCAGAAGTGTTTCCTTTCTCCTACATTCTTTTCTTTCTCTACTGTTGTCTTCTTGAGAATGATTATGGCTGAAGTGAGATGTAATTTCAGTAAAGTTTTGATTAAAATTTCCTTTATAACTAAGAATGTTCGAAAACTAAAAAAAAAATGTATTCTTTGGTGATCTATATTTCTTCTTGTGAGAACTATCTGAGATAAAGAACTATCTGAGATAGAGGTCAACACTGGCAATAATTTCAACACTTGGAAGACAGACTCAGGATGATCAGAATTTCAAAGTCATAACTATACAAGGAGTTAGAAGCCAGCCTGGGCTACATGAGACCCAGTCTCAAAAGATAATAAACTAGCACCAACAAAAGCTAGACCATCACCATATCTGAACTACACATCTTTAAAGACCACCTTGGTGACCCACTTCTGTTAGCCAGGCTCTCCACATAAGGTTGAACACCAGATGTTTAAACACATGAGCCTGTTTAGAAATTTTCAGACTCAAAGCACTGCATTTTACCCCAGATACTCAGAGGCTAATGGCAGCCTCATAATGCAAAACTCATTTTGTCCTTATTGCTACTTCTCAGGGAGTCAGAGCTGTAGACAAAGGTGTTTCCTGTGTAGCCTTCTTGCTTCTCCATGCTGTATGGAGGCATTATCATGTCTCCCCGAACACCTATGCACTTCTCTTTTTCTACGATAGGGTCTGTGCTTTGTTGTCTTGACTGGTCACACACAGGAAGCTTCTAGTCAGCCACTTTATCCTCAAAGTCTAGAATTTTGCTGTAATCGAAAGGAAATTGAACTGAAAAGGTACAAAAGAAATGAATATAGACAAGATAAGTTCACAGATAAAGAAGGGAAAGCATGAGAGAACTTAGTTTTTGTTAAGACAAAGGTTTCCTCCTCCCCCTCTGTTCTCCACCCACTCACCTCCAGTCTTGCTTTTAAGTGAAAAAATGTCTTCTTTTTTTTTTTTTTTCCTGTTTGGGAAAGTTGGAGGATTTTGCAAGCAAACACACACACACCACCACCACCACCACCACCACCACCACCACCACCACCAAGGGATACAGTGGAACATGATAGGATGAACTTAGACATTTAAGATTCACAAACGTGGACTTCAGTCCCACTTCTTGCACTCACATGTCATTCTTGGGTTAGGCATGCTCACAGCCTCATTTTCCTGAGACAATAAAGCCACCTTGCAGGGCTGTTGTGAAGAGTAGAAAGGACATACTTGAATGGTTGTGTAACCCAGGTTCTCTTCTTTATTCACCTTTTAACCCTCAACTCATTGTAGTCTCAATACACTTTAAAAACCAAAGATACGATACACTCTTGTCTCTGGACATCTCTCAGACACACCTGTCTCTGAACATCTCTCAGAAACCCCCAAAAGCACCTAATTCCAGCTCTGGAAATTGTCATTAAGAATCCATAGAGATCCAAATGATTTTTATTCTCACCATTTGGGACATTTGTCCTGAGATGGACTGTTACTTGTCTCTTCTGTGCCACTTTGTTTAACTTGGTCATTGTCCTTGCCTTCAATTCTACGCCATGACAGCTGAGAACAGCAATTACGTTTTATGTAGAATTTGCTGAGGACCTAAGTCTTTGTTTTGTGATAAGAGAAGCTGGCAGAAAGCTGAGCCTAAAGAGGAAGTACCACAGCTGTTGAGGGGTGCACGGATATCCCCCTCCTGAATGCTTCCCTTCTTACCTCTTGACCTAGTTCCACATGGCAGGGATCAGCTGATCTACTCTAGTGGAAATGCCCTGACTGATGCCACATATCACGTATTCCAGAATGACTCATAGCAATGTTTACTCAGTTGAAGATAGGATTCTATCTTCAACTCCATACATAGGCTCTCATCCCATCCTTTGGCAAAGAAGCAAACAGAGTCATGAAAGCAGTGTACCTTCCCCCAATAATAAACCTGTCAGGGCTCAATAATACCATCTTAACTTCTTAATGCCCTAAACTATTCCCTTCCCAATGAGATAAACAGAAGTTCAAGCTGAATAGCCTTCTAAATTCTTGGCTTCTGATCTGTAACAAATAATTTGAACAATGCTTTACATATCTGCCTAAACACGTTAAACAAAGACAATCTTTTACATTGTGACAGAGAACACCTGAAACCAGCTTTGCAAATGTTGTCCCAGACAAAGGCATCTGTCCCATACTTGGATAATGAACAACTTGTTAGAGCGCTCCTTCCTAGTTTTGGAGAAGCCTCTTCTTGAATGAATATCTCATGTAACTGGTTTAGCATCAGTTTATTCTCTGACCTGGTCTCATTCTGGGTCACTTTGACACTCCTCACACCATTCTTCATATATTCCTCATACTTTTCTCTACCAGAAATTGTTTTCCTTCCTTCCTTCCTTCCTTCCTTCCTTCCTTCCTTCCTTCCTTCCTTCCTTCCTTCTTTCCTCCCTCCCTCCCTTCCTCTCTCCCTCCCTTATTCCACCTCTCCCCCTTTCTTTTTGCTCTATTTACTTACTTTGTTTTAAATTATTTTTTTTGAAATAGGGTATCATGTAGCTCAAAGTTGACTTCAAACACAATATATAATCAAGGCCAGCCTTGGACTCTTGATCCACTTACTTCTGTCTCCAGAGTACTGGAATTACAGTACACAGAACCATGTGTGACTTTATTTGATTATTATATGTTGCTTAAATGACTTTTCCCGAGAAGACTTCTTTGACTTTCTATAACCAGGGATAGTCTCCAGAGTGCCAGTTCCTGAATTTATATATTTTTTATGACAGCTTTAGGCCTTAGCTTACTCTTACTCCCAACTAGCTCTTATAATTTAAATCAACCCATTTATATTAATCGATGTTCTGTCATGTGGCTTATTACTGATCCTCAGTTTTATACATCTGACTTCCTCTGCATTTTGCTGGTGAATTTTTCTCCTCTGTGTCTGACTGGTGAGTGTTCCAGCCTCAGACTCTTTCCCGGAGTTCCTACCTCTGCTGCATGTCCTGCCTTGCCTTTCCTGCTTTGCTTTGCTATGGGCCACCAGTTCCTTATTAAACTAATCAGAAGGTGGTGGAAAAAATGTTTACAAAATATGATACAGCCATAAAATTAACAATATCAAAGACCAGCATATAATCAGATCTCTGCCATTATAGAAATCAGCATTGGAATAATACAAAATCTTTACATAGTGCACAAAAGATCACCCAACAACTTTTCTCTCAATTTAAACAGGAGCTTCTTGTCACAACTTGAAATCACACCATTTCCGTTGTTTTTCAACACTATTTTAATTATTATACACATAATCCTGAGGTTGCTTATTAGATCACTCTCCACCTTCCTGGATTTTTCTGAATTTCCAGAGGGCTATGTCATTTTTGCTCACTTCCAAGTCCTCCTTGCCAGGCACATGATGGACAATCAACAAACACATGAATGAATGGATGGATAAATGGGTAAGTAGTCTGATTAAGCTTCTATTACAAGGAAGACAAAAGTAACTGAACCATTTTGCTTGGTCTTCTTCTGTTTAGGGCAAACACTTTAGTAGCTAAAGTCTGCTCTCTCTCATCCTGCTGGCAGCATGCTCAGGGCTGTATCTGGTCAGTGAAATGTGGCTAGGGCAGTCCTGCTCTTCTTTTCCCAGCTAACTTTCACTGGGCATGTGATTCTGTTCTGGCCATCGAGAGGGAAGGAAAAGTTTACCTTAGTAAGGGAACAGAGAGATTTGCTGGAGACTTCTGGGATAGGTTTCTCAATATGGTATTTTGCTATTTCTAAGTACCAGTAGGTTTTGTGAACATTATGGAAACTGCTGAGATGAAGCCAGCATATTTAACAGAATAGGACCAGCATGCTCCTAGGAACATATCAGGGATGGCTAGCAGCCTTTGAGCTGCCTCACCTCTTGTTACCTGAGATTATAACTTACAATTTGATAGTGAGCTTTCTAAATGCTTGACTATAGGTGTTATATTTTTGTTGTTGTTATTTCTAAAATAGGGTTTCTATAGGCCCAGCTAGACTCAAACTCATCAGATTAATTTTCCTGCTCTGCCTCTCAAGTGCTGGTACTGTTTGTATGAGCTATGATGTTTGGGCTATAAATGTACTTTATACAGCATTCTAACACAAATGCCCATGTAATACACAGTAATAGAAGTTTGATAGTTCAGTGCCCCTGTCACTCTGAATGAGCATCAATATCACTGCATCAAAAGAAAGTCTGAAATATCTGTTTGTTTCCCTGTGATTGTTTCTTGCTTCCTTTCTTGAGACACCAATTTACTACATAGCCAAGGCTGGCTTCAAACATCTTGACAATGCTCCTGCCTCAGTCTCCAGAGTATAGGGGCTAAAGTATGTACCACTGTACTCTGTTTTCTATAATGCTTTTACCACCCCAATTATGTGTTGTAACCTGTAGTTTAAAAATGCTGAGAGGACTGAAGAGTTGGAATAATGTTTAAGAGAATTTACTGTTCTTCCAAAGGACAGGATTTCAAGTCCGAGCACCCACATGAGACAGCTTACAGGCTTCAGTCATTATAGTTTCAGGGCACCCAATGCCACTCATGTCTGATAACACCTGTGCATCCTCCCCAACATTGAAGTAATTAAAAGCAAAATAAATCTAAGGCACTCTTGACATTGCTTGCAACTTCTCTGCAGAATTTCTGTCCACACTACTTTGACATGGATGCCAGCTCTGCCAGGTATT